GAGTATTTTTTACTGATTTCTAATTAGGCGCTCGCCCCTCAGATGTCCAAGTCCGAGTACTCGGCCGTCTACGGCCAGAGTTTTGCAACACTGTTTTTCATAAAAAGAATTAAATTACGTAAAAGAAACTAAATATATTGTTAATCAAATCTGTTTGTGATTGGAAATTGAAAAAGTAATGCAATTCATTTTCATGCTGCATGTATAGATTATGGTTGGTGGATCATGCCGCACGGCTTCAGTTGTATCAAATATAAAATGTTAGAAAACTTGTAATATTCTAATAACAATATTTAATCAATATTTAACATTTTCAATGGAAAAAAACCGCCTGTATGTAAATGATACTAGTATGTAATATATCATTTAATGGTAAAATTAAGGGAAATTAAGTAATTTAACCACTATGTATTTGAAAATAATATAACCAAAAAGAAATTGTTTTAGTAAAAATAACCACTTGGTCCGAAATGAAAAAAAAACAATTTTTCTATTAAAAAAAGTAATTGGCATTTCGGAATCTAGACTAGCATTCTGGATTTTAGACTAAAATGTAACATCCATAAAAATTGAGCCAAATTAAAACATTTTTATTTCATTCAAAAACCATTAAGTTCACACATCTTGTTTTCAAAATAGTTTAAACATCAGAGTATCCCCAGAACCATATCACATAAATCATAAAACATGAGGAGCGGTACGATCACGCCTTCGCCTTGCTACGATCTCCTGAAGTACCTGAAACAATACACTGAAACTGTAAGCCCGAAAGCTTAGTGAGTTACCCCCAAAATACCAACCACACATAAACATACTCATAACATATCACAAATAGAACAGCCATGCACATCGGGTCTACTGTGTGACTGGTCCGCCCGCACCGGGCCTTCAGTCCACCTGGTCCACCCTCCGAGTCTAGCCATGTACATCGAGTCTACAGTGTGATTGGTCCGCCCGCACCGGGCCTTCAATCCACCTGGTCCACTCTCTGAGTCTACAGTATGACTGGTCCGCCCGCACCGGGCCTTCAGTCGGCCTGGTCCACTCTCCGAGCCTCGGCACGTCTGGTCCGCCCTCTTGGGGCCTTCAGCCTATCCGGACCACTCGCTGGGCCTTCGGAATATCCGGTCCGCCCTGGGTATGTTGGCCTAGAGCACAAAGCAGGACTCGCCTCAACCCAACCCCCGTCAAACAACCATGTGCACATAAAACAATTCATCACATAACAAATCCTTAACCAGACTATCAGTCTAACAGATCACATAGCATATCAACATCCTAACCAGGATTCCGACCTAACCGGTCACTAGCATAACATTACCCTATATACCGGGTACCGACCTTAATCAGGCCACTAACATAACATCATCCTAAATACCAGGATGCAGATCTAGCAAAACAATAACATAACAACAATACCCGGATTTCCATCCGATAAAGGGTCGTCCTTGGTGCCGTAGACCCTGTCGATATAGTGAGGATAACTCACCTGCAATTGCCGACTGGAAAGATAAGACCAAGCTGCTCCGACCACCGACACGATCTTCACCACAGAACACTACCAAAGAACCAATTCCATAAATACCCTTGAAGGTCAAAGTCAAAGTCCAGGCCAAAGTCAAACTTCCTGACTGACCCTACTCGCCGAGTCAACCTGTTGACTCGTCGAGTCCTTATACTCTGAAAACTCTTAGAACACGAATCAACTCGCCGAGTCACCCCAAGACTCGTCGAGTCCAACGATCTCCGAGTCCCATCATGTCCAACTCACTGAGTCACCCCTCGACTCACTGATCTGCGTCTTAACCAGAAGAGGTTTGGGGTTCTGCGACCTGACTCGCCGAGTCCAAGGCAATCTTCAACAGACTCGCCGAGTTGTTCTTCCAACTCGCCGAGTCCATGCACATGTTCATACAACTCGTCGAGTACACCCATGTGACTCGCCGAGTCTCTTCAGTTCTCAATCCATACATAGGCTTTTCGAGCCATGCAGGGGCTCCAATCCATAGATCCACTCTTCTACAGCCTAACCCTCACATAAAGTTGCAAACTTTACGTGAAACCAAGGAGATATAGGCCCAAAACACACTAGGGCTTGGGTTTTAGACAAAGGGGCTTCACCAACAACTCAAAGACTGAAGCTTTATGACATCCTAGGCCATCATGAGTCTAGATCTGGAGTAGCAACCTCAGATCTAACTCTAAATCCGAAATAGATCTCAAAACAAGCTAAAGAACTCCCAAAACAACCACCAAGGATGAACCAAAAAGGAAATAGCTTAAGATAAGGGCTCTTTACCTCAGAGATGTGCCCAAAACTGATGTAGATCCCATATCTTTACAAGCCCCTTGATGCTAGCTTCCAATTTATCAAGCTCCTTCCACCAATTTCCTCTTCCAAGCCCCAATCTCCTCAACAATGAAGCCTCACACGAAATTAGGGTTTTCTGGAACTCTCTGGGGGTTTAGGAGGCTGGAAGAGGGACATAAAGTCCTTTAAATAGGGTGCAAACCCTAAGATTAGGGTTTTCTCATTTCAGCACCAACTCGTCGAGTCCAAGCCTCCGACTCGGCGAGTTGGTCACTTAATTCGCGATCCAAACCCGCTCCGACTCGGCGAGTAAGCGTACCTACTCGTCGAGTCCCTTCCTTTATTTACAATTAGCACCCTTCACTTCTTGTTACGAACTTGGGATGTTACATAAAGTTTCGGATTTCAGAAAAAAAAAAAAAAAAACTTCTTAATTTCAAGAACAAGTCCGGAATGAGATGAACAATTCCAGAATTTCGAGAAGATATATATTTTTTTACTTAAATCTAACAAAAAGATAAAATAAAGTATACACAATATTAGTGAATGAAAATCAGATAGTTTATTGAAAACAAGAACATTATACTTTGAAATAGATATTTCTGTTAAAATAGAGAGAGTTTTTGAAAAGAAAAAAAATACTCAGTAATCCGGAATTAACCATTCTAGAAAATGTGGTTATTTTTTTGAAAAACTAAAAAATAATAGTTATTTTTTTAAAATAGAAAAATTCATTTCTTAATTCCCTAAAATTAAACTATCAATTTGATAGAAAGAACTTAACACGGAAAAAAAGTTATTTATTGCAAAACTTAGAAAAAAAGTGATGTAGTTTTTTTCTAACAAACATGATATAAAACTTCTAAAAAACATTATGATTTATGAAATATAAATTGAGAAAAAAGGTGAAACTTTATTGTTTAAAGGTGTACTAATGTTATTTGCCTAAACAAACATTTAGCCAATAATGAAATTCTCTACCACTATAAATACAATATACAATAAAATGCCTTCAATTATTTTATTTATATATTTAACTTTTAATCAGTGTTACACACGTAAATTGCATATAAAATAAAAGTAATTTTAGTTCTTTTGTTAATTTAGCAAAAATACTTCAAACTTAACATTTACATATTTACATGTTATGGTATAAAATTATAATCAAGTTCTCCAGAAAATGGTTGTAGTGATCACATGTTGATAACGTAAAAGATAGCTAAAAAAACTGGTTACAAACGTCCAAAATATATTCAATTATCTATTAGATTTATTATTTCAAAGAATTAAATATTGTTGTAATACTATTTTATTATATTTAACACTCTTATACCAATACAAATTAAAAAAAGAAAGAAATAATGAATAAATAGGGAAAAGTTCAATAGAGAACCATTATTAATCAAGGAACCAAGTAACAAATCCAAAACGTCGGAATTTAAAGCGATCAACGGCAAAAGGAATTGTTGTAAACTTTTATAATAGACGCAAATTTTTTATCGAAAAAAAAAACCGAATATACCGTTATACATGATTTTTCGTCCTCTTTCCATAAAGATCCATGATGATATATAAAAAACGAATTTTTTTTTTCGAAAAAAAACTCACTTAATTTTCTTAGTTTTTTCAATATTTAAGTTTATTTTTATAAAAAAAACTAATTATACCAAAAATATTAATTTTTTGTACTCTATTAATAAACATCAACACCGATTAAAAAAAAAAAAAACTCGAACAGTGTAGATTCACACTGTGAATCTAAACTGTAAATATTTCAATTTTTAACATTCACAATATGAAAAATCTCGAACAGTTCAAATTCACATTGTGAATCTGAATTACTATTATGCACAATGTGAATCTGAAAAGTTTCACAAAAAAAAAAAAAAAAAAAAACCTCGATCAGTATAGATTCACACTGTCAATCTAAACTGTAAATATTTCAAATCTTCACATTCACAATGTGAAAAAGCTCCTATCAGTTCAGATTCACACTGTGAATTTGACTTATTATAATGCACACTGTAAATCTGAGGAGGTTCACAATGTGAATCTGAACAGATTTACAATATGAATCTGAACAGGTTCACAATGTGAATCTGAACTGAAATATCGTTTTTTTTTTAACATTAATATGAATCTATGTTTAAAAAGTACAAAAAAATATGAATTTTGATATATTTATTAAATTTTTTTCTATAAAAAAATAGACCTTAACTTTTTTCATCAAAGAAAATGAAGTGAGTTTTTTTCGAAAAAAAAATTCGTTTTTTATATATCATCATGGATCTCTATGGAAAGAGGACGAAAAATCGTGAACAACGGTATATTCGGTTTTTTTTTTCGATAAAAAACATGGCCTAAAAAAATTTTAAACGAAAAAAAGTGGTGAATTTTTTTTGTAAATGGTGGATTTTTTGGTATAATCCGGTATGTATGCGTCCAATGTAAAAGTATACATCTATTTCCTTGGCCGTTGATCGTTATGATTTCCGACGCTTACAATTGATTCCTTAGTTCCTTGGTTAATTATGGTTCTCTATTAAACATCAACCTAAATGGATATAAGGGCCATAAATAATAAAATACATCCAAATTAAAGAAACAGCCAAAATAAAACACGTGAAGTTCTATGATATTGTTTCACATCAAATATACAAATATTACTTTATTTCAACGATGACATAGTTTACTTCATCAAATCCAACAAATTTCCTTCTGGGTAACTTTTCTGGTGGCCGGAAAGTTTACACCGGCAAAGAGGGCAAGAGTTATGCAGGGAGAGCCATTTTGTAATACAATCAAAATGGTAGATATGTCCACAAGAAGCTTGCTTATTACTTTTACATGATGACTGGAAACCTTCCATGCATACGATACAAACACTTGATGGACCCATGATGGTCGGCATCGCAAAAACTTGGTTCTGAGCTTCCTCCGGTGATGGCGGTTTGTGGCTTTTGAGGATGGTAGTTGTGGTGGTGGCTTGGTGGTGATATTCCATGGTCAAAGATAGGTCAAGATCAAAGGAATGATCAAGAACTGAGATTTGGTATTGGGCCATGAAAGAGAGATCTAGGTGTTGTTACCGATAATGAAAGTCTATATATATAGAGGAAGAAAGAGACAAGATAGAAATAGATATCTGCGATTGACATTTAATTCGCCACCACCCCCACCTGCTTCAAAACACACACACAAGTATTGATTTTTTTTTTTTAATGATTTTTTTTTTCAGAAAAAAAAAAGTTAAAAGACAAAACTAAAATTGGTCCATATGGTTTCGTAAAAACTATAGATAAGACCCAAAAAAATTTCGATTTGCATGAAAAATCCAAAATCATAAACTTTTTTTTTTTTTTTTTTTGATTTTAGTCCTGAAAAATTTGAAAATACCTTTTTGCCCTTTTAACTCTTTTTTGTTGTATTTCTTCATATTTATTTTAATCTCTTATTAATTAAAAAAAATAATGGACTCACCTCTCTCTCTCTCTCTCTCTCTCTCTCTCTCTCTCTCTCTCCTAGACATTTCAAATTCTTCATCTGTCACACCTTCTCTTTTTATGCACTTACACAACCCACCGACCAACTGTGAAGCTTGCTTCACATCGCCAACTGTGTGAACAATCATCGCCACCTATTGTCGTCGGTGCTTGCGTCGTTTCTACAGTCTAGTTGTCGTTTGCTCCACGTGACGTCGTCGATAGTTCCATCAACCATTAAAAAATTCAGTCGACGCCATCCCCTGCTTGCTCCTTCTGCCACCATGAACCACCCCAAAACGCATTGGGTTCACTTCGATTTGTACCATTCTCAGTCTATTTTTCTCCGTTCTTCCCTGATTTCACATGAGCAAACCCTTCATTTTTTTATTCAAATTCACTCAATACAATCACATATTTACTGTAATTTTGGGGTCTCGGAATCCTGATCACCATAGCTTAAATCACTTAAGTCCTTCATCGCCGTCACTAATGTAGAGATTAAAATTCTCAAATGATTTTTCGAGTGAGAGAGAGGAGGGAACAGTGAACCCTTCTCAGCTTCATGCTTTACTCTGGCCTTTCGAGAATCACTAAATCACTGATTGTAGCGGTGGCAGTTCGATCATCAGGAGGTTGAGCAAAGGGGATGTCGGTGATAGATTGGTGGAAGATTCTTCAAGATGAACTTTGAATCTAGGACTTCATTGGAAAATTCAGAGAGAACATATGAAGGAGATGCTATAGATAGGGGATATTGTCGTTGGTTCGTTGGATGTCGAAAATGCTAGGGTCGTCAGTGATAAGGAGGTCATTGGACGTAAAATACTCGGAGCGACAAAGATAGACAAAAAGTGAAATAGAGAAAGGGAGGGTATGATGATGTTGTGGGTATGGTATATAATTCTTTTGATTTTATTATTTTTTAAAAATTAAAATAGTGTTAAAATAAATATAGAAAATGAAAAACGGAAATTAAAAGGGCATAACAGACTTTTTAGTTTTTTAGGACCAAAATCATGAGATTTTTATGATTTTGCACTTTCTATGCAAGTTGAAAACTTTTTGGACCATATTCACAAGTTTTTGAAAACCACATGGGATCATTTTTGCAGTTTTGTCAAAGTTAAATATATCAATTTTTATTGTTATGTTTTGTTTCAAAAATTGATATATATATATATATATATATATATATATATATATATATATATATATATATATATATATATATACACACACACACACACACAAGGGCTTAGCGGCGCAACTTGTTGCTCGTTTGGCTTCTCATTCGTTGTATGATGATAACTAAAACAATTAACTAGTTATATATATATATATATATATATATATATATATATATATATATATATATAGACACACACACACACAACTATGAAGTTTTAAAAATTTTCAAATCAAGACAATAATTCATCCATTTTATCGAGAACTTCGACTTTCAACATAGCCGGTTTGATTCATCCCCTTTATATATCGACGTAGACCTTTTATGGCTTATTTACTACTATACGTTGGTGATATCTTTTTTACCGTGTAATTTCTGGTTTTCATGTGTTGTGTTATATCATTTCTTAGCCATGAGTTCTCTACAACCGACTTAGAGGAGTTTAATTATTTTTTTGGGTTTTATGTTATTTGAAGTTAAACATCGATTTCTTTTAATCGACAAATATATGTCATGAAGATTTAGGAGCACGTCGGCATGCTCAAGTGGAATATTGAGTCCAAATTTGATGTTACTAGTACCCCAATTGTTGATCCTACTATCTACATCAGCTTAGTCTGTGCCCTTTAGTATCTTATCTTTACAAAGTTAGTTTGTATCTCACATATGTTGTTTAGTATATTTGTATCTTCATTCCTGATCTTTGTAAGGATAACTTTGGTGGTTTAAAGTGCATTCTAAGGTATGTCACTAGTATACTTAACCATTTATTACGGATTCATACATCTTCCATTATCGAATATATTTGCATATTATGATCTCGATGTAGGTGGATGTAGCATCTAGTTTCGAGGGGGTTTCTTATTTTGGGATTTCGGTTCGTAGTGTGATCAAGTAAAGGTCTTAGGGTTCAAAGGAATAGAGTTTAGGCCCTATCATCTGTTCATAATGTTGGTTAAGTGATTTAAGCTCTTGAATTTTGTTTTATAGCCAAAGGTATGGGAAAGTGATATTTTGGACTTCTTGCACGATTAATGATTTTAGTTCGGTATGTTTTTTAATCAAAAGTAATTCGATAGAATTGTGGGGCTTATTAATACATTTGTGTGCATATAAAGATCGGCGAAAATGGAGTTGAAACAAAGAGATTATGATTGTTTAAAGCTGGAATGGATTTGGGTGAAAACCCGTCACCAAGAAGTGGTGAGCAGTTCACCACGGCGTGGTAATCACCACAAAGTGGACGATGGGTAGCCCAAGCCCATGAATTTTTAGGGTTTTCAATGTATTTAAAGGTAAGGATCCATGTTTTAGGGTGTTTTCTCAAACTCCATCACATCTAGAACTCCTTGGGAGCAACCATAGCCTCCCTCTTTATAGTTTGAGCTTCTCCCCTCTCCCCTCGTCGATTTTTGGAGTGTTTTTGGTGGTTTGGAGTGATTCTTTCATGGAAGATTGATCCATGAAGCTTGGCAATTGAATATCTTAACTTTCATCTACCTTTTGGACCTTTGCAAGTCATAAAGTTCCAAGCTTTATTTCATTTCATCTTTGGATCTATGTGTATTTAGTGTTTTGGTCCATTTTAATTAGTTTTGGTCCCATTGAGGCTTGTTCCATAGAGTTTGCAGAACTCTTGATCTTTTGATTGATGTTTGGGATTAGATCTGGTCATTTGGTGGAGTAGAGAGTGCATGCAAGAGCTCTCTTTACTCCATGCATGATGAAAAGTGTGTTTTAGACATCTTATGATCTAGGGTTTTAGATCTTGATTATTTGGAGCTTCTTAATGGATAATGTTAGAGACTTTATCCATTTAGGTATTATAAGCAATCATATATGAGTGTTGGGAGCTTAGACTTAATGGATTATGTCTTCTTGGAGTTGTTGGATCAGGGAAGACCACAACATGGTCAAGGCATGACCATGCCGTGGTGGTCAGTTTCTTCATGATCTGCTTTGGGCCAGACCACGACGTGGCAGATGCTTGGCCACGACGAAGTGGCCAGCTAAGTTGACTTTTGGTTGTTGACTTTGAGCGTTGACCATTGACTTTTAACCAAGTTAACTTTTCTTCAACTTGAGGGTTTTTAGGTTATAGATTGAGGGTGTACCTCTGATTGTTGTATAGGTGGCAAATAGCACCTGTCTTTGATTGAGTGAACATTGTTGATTGTCTGCTAGCATGCAAGGTGAGTTTTCTCATTGTACTTTGTACTGTAATATGTATCATTATGTGTAAGAGGTTGTTATGCCGTAGTGATATATCTATCCTTGAGGATAGGATGTTGTTATGCTACAATGATATGTTAGGCAGATAGATTTGTTATAATTACCTGATGCGACATCGACCTCTGACGAGTCTTCTGGTCTTCTGCTGCGGCGGAGATCTGACATCACAGTGCAAAGTCGTTAGAGCCGACCCAAGGACTGTACCCCAGGAGCGGACTCCGACGGTCAAGTTAGATCAGCTAGAAGATCTGAGATGGTCCTCCATAGCTGGAGAGAACCATCTTGGTGCTAGTGGTGGTGTATGGTGGCTGACGGCGATGGGTGGCGGCTGAGCCACCCGGCCGGAGTATAGGGCGGCGGCTGAGCCAAAGGGAAGATACCTCTCCATGGAGGAGATACTATTCATTATATAGGGGACAATTAGGTCAAGGGGAATTAGGTCAGGCCTTGGACCAGCCCAATTCAGGCCCAACTAGTAAGGAGTTGGGCAAGGCCGCCCGGAGGCGCCGGGCGGGGCTGGCGGGCGCACACCAGGAGAGGATGGCAAGGGAGTGCCAGGCGAGGGAGCGCCTGGCCGGGCCGTCAGGAGAGTCCCCAGCAGGGCTGGCAAAGGAGTCCCCAGCAAGGCTGGCAAGGGAGCGCCAGGCAGGGCTGTCAGGAGCGCGCCAGGCCAGGCTAGCGCTCTAGATCAGTCTAGGCCATGCTAGTGGACCATATATCATCAAGTCCCCCTAGTATGGTGTTATTGGTACGCGGCCAATGACATCGGACTGGAACTAGTCATATAAACTGTGCGTCGTCAAGTCCCCCTAGTCTGATGCGATTGGGTTGCTGACAATCGGATCGGACTAGATAAAGCTCCAAAGCATTAAATAATAGAGAGAACGACCGAACCTCGCCCACGAGAGTCGTGGGGTTGTGCGAAGAGCCAAACATTGCTTATGCGGCTTGAGCTGACTTGTTACTCCTTCATTGAGAGGAGTGTGAGCCGGTTGGTGAGATGCAACGTAACTGTTGCTACGATCATGCAGACCGAGGCTGCTAAAGAGTGTTACACGACACTGGTGTCGATGGAATGTCGGGTCGGGGTAGCTAAGGAGCGTAACCTTGCCATACAGTCTCTTAGACCGTTGTCGAGCTCCGAAGTCTGTAAATAGATAC